AGTTGGTCTTCGACCTATGATACCCTTTCTTCTGCTTGATGAATTCAACTGTTAAAACCTGTGCATACTTCTCGGCGTTCTCGTATTGTATTCTTCAGTTCCATCAATTCACTTATGTACCTCTCTAGGTTGTCTATTCTCATTAGGATTTCGTCAAACCTTTTTTCAAGGTTCTTAGTTTCTTTACGTTGGGCTAGAACATGTTCTTTTAACTCACAGAAGTTTCTTATTATCCACATTCTAAAGCCTAAATCTGTTAATGGAACACATTCATTCTCCATCAGGCCTTGTTCTGTTGTTGATGAGGAACTGTGATTCCTTGTAGAGGGAGAGGCATTCTGATTTTGGGTATTCTCAGCCTTTTTACGCTGGTTTCTTCCCATCATTGTAAATTTATCCACCTGTCATCTTTGTAATTACTGACCTTCAAATTAAGTCTCTGAGTGGACGTCCAACTTGTTGATTCCCAGTGCTGGAATCTGAGCAACCCACTGCACTGGCCAAAACAGTGGTGTTAAGATTCATGGCGCTTTTCTGCCAGGGAATCTCCGGTCTGGCTTCCTTCTTGAGCCCCTTTTTCAATCAGCTGAATAGGTGACTCTGCCTTCCTGGAGCTCCAAACGTCAACCAAAAGGGGACTCAGTCCCGTTTACTCTGCACCAAGAACTGCCATGCCGGGGCACCAGCAAAACAGAGGCACTGGCCACAAGAGTCACGCTGGTGACACATGGGGCTCCTCTGCTGGGAATCTCCTGGTTCGTGAGCAACAAAAATTCATCTGACAGTGTGGCGTCCTCTCGTTCTCTGCACTTTCACTGGGAGCTACAATCCTGAACTGCTAGCAATCAGCCATCTTGGATCTCTCCCCATATCCATTCTTTATTCAGAAATATTTTATCAATACTAGCAAGTCCATCCATTTCAGTACTTTGCATTCTTATTAATTTCTGGAATTAAGATTTGATTCTTTTTTCAAATCTTCTAGATCACCTTTTATAGGTTTCTGTTTCTTACAAATTTATTTATACTTGTATTTTATTTCTTTAAATATAACATGCATAGGGAATTTCTAATCTACATCTGATAATTCTAATACCTGACATCTTTGCAGGTTGTTTCTGTGCTTGTGCTTATTTTTTAATAGTTAACATTTCTGAAACTGGGGTATGTCTTACAATTGATGGTACTTAATAATTTAATTGACAGTGTATTTTTTTCATTCTACTAGCATATAAATTGATGCTATATTTTATAATCAGTAGCATCTTAAATTTAATAAAATACAATATTTGTGGGGATTTTGAAGCCTAGGATGAAGATTTTCTTCAGAGAGTGTTTCATTTACTTTTGACTCTGGCACCATCAGTCCAGGAGAATTTTAAATTCATGGCTTGAAGATTTTTTGGGACAACCCAGATAATGTGAACTTGAGCTGCCAAATATACAGAAGCGAGCCTGTGGTTATGGCTTCCCAGAGACTTCACCCCAGACCCTTGAACTTCTCAGTGTGAAGACAACTTTTGTTGCAGTTACCTGAGGTTAGGAGTAAGTGGTAGATTCGTCATTTTGAGGTTCTATTTGAATGTGGGAGGGTCTTCTACTGGATTAAAAAATTTTTGAGAGGCCGGGCATGGTGGCTTACGCCTGTAACCCCAGCACTTTGGGAGACCGAGGCAGGCGGATCACTTCAGGTCAGGAGTTTGAGACCAGCCTGGTCAACATGGTGAAACCCTATCTCTACAAAAAATACAAAAATTAGCAGGGCATGATAATGCATGCCCGTAATCCCAGCTTCCCTGGGAGACTGAGGCATGTGAATCATTTGACCCCGGGAGGCAGAGGTTGCTGTGAACTTAGATTGAGCCATTGCACTCCAGCCTGGGTGACAGAGCAAGACTGTCTCAAAAAAACAAAATTTAATTTGGGGAGTAACAACATCTTCATAATTTCAGGTTATTCCAGCCAAGAACTTGAACTATATCTCCATTTATTCTGATCATCTTCTGTCTTTTATTGGAATTTTACAGTTTCCTACATGGAAGTCTTCCATATTCTTGGTTTACTTAACACCTTGATACTTTTATCTCTCTTTATTGCTATTTTGAAGAGTATCTTTTATTTTTTTAATAATATTTTTTATAGTTTTTACTGTAGTAGAGAAATGCTATCGATATTTGTAAGTGGTCCTGGTATTCAGAATTCTTGGTGAATTATTTTATTATGTCTGCTGAAGAATGTCTGATTGTCATTTCAATTGCTTTCATACTTACTGGTCCACTCAAATGATCTATTCCTTTTTGCCCAATTTTGGTATCTAATTTTTTTTCTAGAAATTTAACTATGTTTTCACATTCATTAATGTGTAGTTATTCAAACCGTTTTCTTCTTCCTCCTCTTCTCTCTCTCTTTCTTTCTCTCTCTCTCTTTCTCTCTCTCTTTTTCTTTCTTTCACAGGGTCCTGTCTGTGTCACTCAGGCTGGAGAGTGCAGTGGCAGGATCCCAGCTCACTGCACTCACTGTAGCCTTGACATCCTCGGCTCAAGAGATCCTCCTACGTCAGCCACCCAAGTATCTGGGATCACAGGCATACACCACCACACCAAACTATTTTTTTTTTTTTTTTGGAGACTGAGTCTTGCTCTGTTGCCCAGGCTGGAGTGCAGTGGCATGATCTTGGCTCACTGCAACCTCCACCTCCTGGGTTCAAGTGATTCTCCTGCCTCAGCCTCCTGAGTAGTTGGGATTACAGGCATACACCACCATGCCTGGCTAATTTTTGTATTTTTAGTAGAGACAGAGTTTTACCATGTTGGCCAGGCTGGTCTGGAACTCCTGACCCTAAGTGATCTGTCTGCCTCAGCCTCCCAAAGTGCTGGGATTACAGGCATGAGCCACCGTGCCTGGCCACCTGAGCTAATTTTTTTAAATTATTTTTTATTTTTTGTAAGACAGGATCTCACATGTTGCCCAGGCTGGTCTGAAACTCCTAGGCACAGGGATCCACCTGCCTCAGTCTCCCAAAAATGCCAGATTATAGTCATGAGCCACAGCACCTGAAACTTCTACTTCTTTTTAATTTCCAAAGAGATTTACATTCATTTTCATTTTTTACCATAAAGCATTACTAGCCCAGGTTCACGCCACACTTATTTTCAATTTCAGGCTTCCTGGCTACACAGTGGGCTTAATTAGAATGCCAAGCCAGTATGAGGATAGACTTACAGTTAAAATTCTCAAAGAAAGTTGTTTTTTTTTTTTTCTTTTTCCCACCTAGAGTACAAATTTTCTCATGTTGGTCAGATTTTTTCCTAGCCACTCTTCCACTAAACATGTAGCACTTTGAGAATTCTGACTTTTTCCCAGGGCCTCAATTCCAAATACACACTTCACATGGGCCTTGTCTTTTGCTCCTATTTCATCATTAACCCAAATCCTTCTGACTAACGCTACAAATGATGTAGGGCATTGAAATATCAGATGATTTTCCACTCACGCTTTTCACTTTTTTTCTTTTTTTTTTTTTTTTTTTTGCCTATGATGACTTCCCTTACTCTTTTTTGAGAAGCTTAATTTGGCTTTTAAAAGGTTGCTGGGCCAGGAGCGGTGGCTCATGCCTGTAATCCCAGCTAACACTTCGGGAGGCCAAGGCAGGTGGATCATGCGACGTCAGGAGTTCGAGACCAGCCTGGCCAATGTGGCAAAAACCCCATCTCTATGACAAATACAAAAATTAGACAGGCATGGTGCCACATGCCTGTAATCCCAGCTGCTTAGGAGGCTGCAGCAGGAGAATCGCTTGAACCCAGGAGGCGGAAGTTGCAGTGAGCTGAGATCACACCACTGCACTCCTGCCTGGGTGGCAGAGCAAAACTGTTTTAAAAAAAAAAAAATTATTTTATTTGAAATGGTAACAAATGTCATTACTGCCTTTAAAATGACCTGGAGCACTTTGTAAAAACCCAAAGACTTTTCCAACTATCGAATAAAATTAAAATTTTACCATTAGGCATAACCTGGCTTCCATCTACCTCGTCAGCCTAGCATCTCCCACTACTTAACAAAAGTGCACCTGACCTTCATGACATGCTGATCTCAGTGATGTTCCCTCTTGCCTGAAATACTCTTTCTTCACCTAAAAGTCTTGTGCTGATTCTTTAAACTCCAGTACAAATACAACTTCTTGAGTAACTCTTCCCTTCTGTCTTAGGAAGTTAATCACTATCCTCTATATTCCCTGACATTTATGTTTGTTACAGTATTTACATATGGTTATGGGTGCCAATTCTATCAATGTGGGATACATGAGCTGTATCAATATCTGATATCTAAAAGGTGAGATGTGCTGCCAATAAAGTCTCTAACCTAGAACATAATCTGATTTTCTTTTTTCTTTTTGTGCTTCTCTAGACTTCAAAGCACCACAGATGGAAAAAGATCCAGAAATTAACAAGTCAGAAAGATTCTATCCTTTACTCTTCAGTTCAAGGTTAATGACAGACCAATTATGGGTCTGCCTTATGACTCTAGCTTTAAATACCAGGTGGAAGGATGTTGAAAAAGAGGATGTAAATGGAAGAAGTGTGCTTCTTCTTTCTAGCATCTCCATGTCTAAAGAGATGTATGTTAATCTATCACAAGAGTAGAAAAAAAAAAGAGCTGTATGTATACAGCTCCATGGTTCCTTTCCTCATGCTTCCTCTCCTCAGCTCCTTTTGTTCAAATCCCAAGGTATTGGAAAGGAAACTTGATGAGATTGTAGAATGGACAAAGGGTAACTACCAAGAGTTTGGTGAGGGAAGTTTCCCTATCTTTTTTCCCCCACCATAGATACTGGATAGACTCCTTTGGAGGAAAAGATATGTATCGTGGCCCCTCTTTCCCCTACTCCCACTGCTTATTACTATGATTATTCCTATTCTTCCCAATGTATATAGCTTACATCTACTGTATGATGAAGGCAGCATGTATGATGGAAGCAGTGTAGCTTTCTGAAAAATGTTGAGATGGGTTAAGTCTGAGATCTACCACTAATTAGCTTCATGATCTTGGGCATAACTTCATCTTTATTTCCTTATTTGCAAAAAGAGGGAGTTGAATGAAATGATGTCAATAATGATGATGCTGATAGATTCTTCACCTCTTCTCCCAGATCCACAGTGGGAAGAAACCCTCAGGATGGCCTGCACTGAAGCTAACCTGACGTGGTGAGTAAAGCCTGTCTTCAGCCAATTCTATTGATAAACTCTGTGAAAGTTAGAAGAAAAGTACCTGGTACCCTGTTTTACTTCCTTCACTATGATAGCTTTCTCTTTTCTAAGTTAAATCTCTCTTACTGTTTTCCTTACTGGTATTTTAATGAGACTTCAATTACATTGACATGCAATGTTTCATCCAGTGTTTCAGAACTCCCTGGGGACTGGACCCAGGAATATATACTCTGGTCAATGGAGCAGAGTCTTCAACAGATCTTCCGACACCTGGAAAGCACAAGGTCAGACATTGTAGTTTTTGGGTGAGGAGTGAAGGTGGTAGAGGTTTTAAAAAGGAGGAAAGAAGGGGAGGAAGGAGTGAGGAAGAGAGTTCATTTTGTCTGTGGAGGAAGTTCAGGGTTCAAACTGGTGGAAGGGTCATTTCTGGGTGGAATGGGAACAGTTTCCTCGCTTTGTCCTGGTGGAGGAATTCTTTCTATAAGTTAATGATGGTGGGGAAAAAAACTTTTTTTTTTCCAATTCTCCATCAGGCCAAAAATATTTTGCATTTGAAATGGCCACTGTTTTCCTTTTCCTATTTCAATGCGAACTGAAAATTTTCTCTTTATTTCTTAGATCAAGGCTTATGGAACAGGATTTGCCTGAACTACAGGATACAATTTCTTCCTCTACCTCCTCCGTTCTTGTGGCTCAGAAGACTGTTTTACGCTGTTGTGACTGTAAGAAATCAAAACATTCTACTGACCAGAGCATCTCCTTTAGATCACCATGCAGTAACTCCAGTCTGTGTCATCTTCCTGTCTTTTCTGAAGGAACAACTTGGGAATGCCAGAGCCATAGTTTATCTATTTCCCACAAAAAGCAGTCATCTGTGTTCAGGAACCAAGGCACAACCCTGTCTCCTTTTAGGCTATCAGAGCCCCAGAAATCAAAACTTTTTCAGAATTTGACAGAACTTTCACCCTTACAATCTCAGAGCTCTTTTATCAACTCTACTTCTGAGCCTCTAAATATCTGCAAACAAAACAGGAAAAATAAAGATGAGAGAACGAGCAAGAGTCATTTGACATCAGATCACGAGCCAAATTCTGTTTCTAAGGACAGATCACAACTTCCAAGGTGGGCTCCATTCAGGCTCTCTCCTTCAGTTAGAAGGGAGCTAGAAGGACATATGTCTGAGAAGGTTTTCACTTTGCAGCAAAAAACAGTACTTTTACCTGTGAGGATAACATGGGTGATGCTCAATTATTTAACTGAACTACAAGGAGGAGTTGCTGAATCAAATAAACTCCAAACTCAGTTATCTATGCCTATTCATCAAAACGCTGAGCAAAATATTAACAAAAATTCCCCAGACCTTCCATCATTTCATCTTCATGTGAATGCTAAAGTGGGACCTGGAACAAATAGCACAGAAACAAAACTTTCACAGTCACTTATCTCAGGTAAGCAGTTACAACCTGGGGATGGCCCCCAAATCCTTGAATCCAAGCCTTTAGTTGCATCAATGGGCAGTCTACCTCCAAGAAGTTTAGGAGTTAATGTAATTCAAGAGGAAACCGCTTTACTGAAGAAATAGCCAAAACACATACTAGAGCTTAGTATAGAGAAGAGGGTCATAGGTTTTCCAGAAAAAAAGATACAGCAGCACAAGACACAAATGACTAATGTGGATTTGACACCAAGTCTGCCATATCAAGTCAAAGACAGCATAAAGGTAACTCCATTGGCATTACTTCGGGTCATGGATTCAATGGGGATGATCCCAGAATCACACTCAGAATCTGTGGGATTATTCCCACAGCTGCCAAGTCAAGTTGTGAAACCAATGGAAACTATGAAAACAGTGAGCATAACCCCCAAACCACCAAATCAAGTCATTCAGTCAATGGAGGCAGCCCCAAGGCCTCAGCACCAAGTTATGGAATCAGAGAGGATGGCCACAAGATTACTGAATCAAGTCACAGATAATAAGAAAGTAACTCCTGTAGCACTGCTTCAAGTTATGGATTCTATGGGGATGATTAACAAATCACATCCACACATAGAATAAGTGGGAATGACTCTAACACCACAACATCAAGCCATAGAGTCAGTGAAGATGAACACATTATTGAACCATCAAGTCACAAAACCAGAAAAGATGAATGTAAGGCCACAATGTGTAGTTATGGAAACTGTGGAAATGATGCCAGAGCCATAGCATAAAGTCATGGAATCAGTTGGCATGACCTCAGGATTACAAAGTCAAGTCATGGAACAAGGAAAGACTATTCCAGGACCAATATGTCAAGACACAAAATCATCGGAAACGATCTCAGCACCGTTACATCAAGTCACGGATTATGTGAAAGTAACTCTAGTGGCACTATTACAAGCCATGGATTCCATGGGGATAGTTCCACCAGCACAGCCACATGTTACAGAATCTAGGGGTTTGACCCCAGGTTCACAGTTGCAAGGTAGAAGATCTGTTCATCTGGTCCTACCACCAGAGTTTCAAGATATAAACACTGTGGAATTGACTCTAAGACCACCAACAGAAGACAAAATCTGCGAAGTTGGCCCCAAAGCCATGGTTACAAGATATCAGATCTGAGAAGATAGCCCCAGTACTATTGCTTGAAGATGTGAAAACTCCTCAAATGGTGGAATGTAGGAGGTTAATTCCTGAGACACATGTGCAAGGTATGAAATATGGGGAATTGGCCAAAGGCACACAACTTCAGGCAGTAAAATCTGCAGAGATAAGCCCCAAACCAAACCATCAAGCCATAGAGCCTGAAAGATTGACCCCATGGCATCAAGCCTCAGAATCTTTAGAGATCATCTCAGAGCCAGGATATCAAGGAAAAGAAGCAAAGTTGACCTCTGACACTTGTCACCAAGTGGAAAAATCTATTGGGTCGACACAACCATCTTTAGGAACTACCCCAGGGCCACTGAGCCAAACTTCAGAATCTGTGGAGATGAGCTCAACGTCATTCCAAGACACTCTTAAGACAACGCACCAACTTGGAAAAGCAATGAGGGAAACTCCAGTATCACAACACACAACAAAAGAATCTCTGGATGCGATACCAGGATCAGAGACACAAAGTGTGAAATCAGAGGTGTTGACCACAGAGCTACAGCCCCATGAAATGAAGTAAAATCTGTGGATTTAGCCCTAAAGCAACAGTTTCAAACACCTGAGGATTTAACCCTTGAGCTGGAACAGGATGGTCAGATATCTATAAACTCATCAGGGCAGCAATGTGTGAATTTTGAGCAAGTAAAGAGAGGGTCTGAGTCGGAAGGTGTAATATCTTTGGAGTTAATTCCAGAGTCAAAATCAGAAGGTATAAAATCTGTAGACCTCAAGTCTGACCTACAGTTGAAAGGTATTAAATCATCTGAATTGACTCCAGAACCAAATATGCAAGATGTAAAAGCTAAAGAGTTCAAACATGAACCACAGTTGCAAAGTCTGAAATCTCCCAAGTTGACTCCAGGACCACAGCTGCACCAGGCAAAACCCTTGGGCTCAACTGCAGAGCCACAGCTTCAAAGTGTGAAAATTGTGGAGTTAAAGGGCCACAGCTTGGAAGAATGAAATCTGTTCAGTGGATAACAAGACCTGAGTTCCAAGGTGTAAAATCTGTGGGATTAAATCTTGGGCCACAATCTCGAAGTGTCAAACCTGCAGAGTTGAAACTTTTCATACAGTGGGGAGATATGATAGCATCTAAATTGGTTCTAGCACCAAAACTTCAAGGTGCAAAACCGATGGAGCTTAACCTCGGGCCACAGTTGCAGTGTATAAAAATCTCTGAGTTGTCTCCAGGACCACAGCTGGAAAACGAAAAAATACTGGCATCAACCTCAGAGCCACAACTTCAAGGTTTGCAAACTGTGGAGTTAAACCAAGACTCACAACTTGGCAGTGTGAAACTTCTGCAGTGGATACCGGTACCTAAGTTCCAAGATGTAAAATCAAAAGCGTTAAATCTTGGTTCACAATCTCGAGGTGTCAAACCTGCAGAGTTGAAACCTTCCATATAGTTGGGAGGCATGGAGTCATCTGAATTGACTCTATGGCCAAAACTTCAAGGTGCAAAACTTATGGAGTTTAACCTTGGGGCACGGTTGCAGTGTGTAAAAACCTCTGAGTTGTCTGCTGGACCACGACTGCAAAAAGGGAAAATTTTGGCATCAAGCTCAGAGCCACAACTTCAAGGTGTGAAAACTGTGGAGTTAAACCAAGACTCACAGCTTGGAAGTGCAAAATCTGTGCAGTGGATACCAGGACCTGAGTTCCAAGATGTGAAAACCGGAGGGCTGAATCTTGGTTCACAATCTCAAGGTGTCAAACCTGCAGAGTTGAAATCCTCCATAGAGTCAGGAGGTGTAAAATTATCTGAATTGACTCTAGGGCCAAAAATTCAAGGTGCAAAACCTGTGGAGTTTAACTATGGGCCACGGTTGCAATTTGTGAAAACTCCCAAGTTGTCCCATGAACCACAGTTGCCTAAAGGGAAAATTCTGGCATCAACCTCAGAGCCACAGCTTCAAGGGGTAAAAACTGTGGCATTAAACAGCTTGGAAGTGTGAAATCTGTGCAATGGATACCAGTACCTGAGTTCCAAGGTATGAAATCTATGCTAAAATGTGATTCACAGTCTTGAGATTTCACACCTGTAGAATTGAAACCTTCAATACAATTAAGAGATGTGAAGTCACCTGAGTTGACTCCAAGGCCAAAGCTTCACAGTGTAAAACACTTGACATCACTCCGGGAACATCAGTTGCCAGGGTTCAAAACTATTGATTTGAAATCTGGGCTACAGTTGAGAAGTGCGAAATCATGTTGCCCAATTTCAACAACAAAGCTCCATGATATAAAATCCATGGCATTCAAACCTGGGCTTCATTTGCAAGATGTGAAATCTTCTGAGTTGACCCCAAGAGCACAGCTGCACAAAGTGAAACCCTTGGAGGCATATCCAAGAACACAGCTGCAAGATGTGAAGTCTCTAGTGTTTACACAAGAGCCACAGTTTTCAGGGGTGAAATCTGGAGTATTAAGCCAAGAGCTACAATTACAGTGATAAAACTGTAGTGCTGAACTTCTTACTACACTTGAAAAGTACGAAATCATCTGAGTTGGCTCATCAGACAAAGCTTCCAGGTATGAAATCTGAGGAGTTTAGCTCTGGGCCACAATGGCAATGTGTCAAATCTTCTAAGTTGTCAAATCCCCTAAGACGAAGTCCCAAGGCATGAAGTTTATAGAGTTAAATCCCAGCTCACAGTTGAAAAATATCTCACATTCTGATTTGACCAAGAAGAACAAGATTCAAGGTGTGAAATCTACAGACTTCAAACCTGGGCCACAGTTGCAAGGAGTGAAATCTGAGTCAATATCAAAGACAAAGCTTCAAGAAGTGAAATTAGTGGAATCCAACTCAGGCCCACAGTTGCAAGATTTGAAATCTTCTAGGTTGATCGTGGGTATAAAGCTTCAAGACATTAAATCTATGAATTTCAGTTCTGGATCTCATTTACAGAGTGTGAAGTCTTCTGAAGTGATTCCAGGGGTGAAGCTTCAGGGTGTGAAATCTGTACACTTCAAACCTAGTCCAAAGTTACAAAGTGAGAAATCTGATTTGACCCTGGGGAGGAAGTCTCCAGGTGTGAAATCTGTAGAGCTGGAATCAGGCCCACAGTTACAAGATACAAAATCTTCTGATCTGATCATGGGTATAAAACTTCAAGATATAAAATCTGTGAAGCTCAGTTCTGGACAACACTTTGAAGGTATAGAGTCTTCTGAGGTAAACTCAGGAACAAGGCTTCAAAGTATAAAATCAATGTATTTCAATTCTGGACAACAGATACAAGGTGAAAAATCTTCTGAGTTGATTCAAGGAACAAACTATCAAGATGTAAAATCTGTAGAATACAACCATGGTCCAAAGTTACAAGGAGTGGCATCTTCTGAGTTAACAGCAGAGACAAAGCTTCAAGGTGGGGAATCTGTGGAGTTCAACTCAGGCCCACAGTAGGAAGGTATGAAATATTGTAATTCAATCCAGGGAACAGAGCTTCAAAATGTAAAATCTAAGGAGTTCAGTTCTAGATCACACTTGCAAGGTATGAAATCTTCTGAAGAGATCCCAGTGATGAAGCTTCAAAAAGTGAAATCTGTGGGGCTCATGCCTAGGCCAATGCAGCAAGATGTAAAATCTTTTGAATTGTCTCTAGATACAAAGGTACAGGATAGCACATCTCTGGGGTTAAACTCAACCTCACAGTTGCAAGATAGAAAATTATCTATGTTGACACCAGGGATACACCATCGAGGTGTGAAATCGATAGAATTCAATCCTGGGGCAAAGCTGTAAGATATGAAATCGGGTTGATAAAATTCCAGACAGTGAACTCTACAGAGGGCAACCATGACCCAGAATTGCAGGTTGCAGAACTCTCTAAGTTGGCCTTGGAATCAAAGATTCACAGTGTGGCACCTTCTGAGTTCAATACCAAAAAGCAGCAGCAAGATGAGAAATCTAATAAATTGAATCCACGGCCAGACCTTCAAAGTGTCAAATTTATGGTGTTCAATCCTGGGCCACATTTGCAACATAGAAAATCTTCAGAATTATGTACAGGGACAAAGCATCAAGATGTAAAATCTATGAAATTCAATCTTCAACAACAGTTGCAAGGCGTGAAATCTGAGTTGCACTTTGGAACAGGGCTTCAAGGTATACAATCTTTAGATTTTGAGCCTGGGCCACAGGTGCAAGGAATAAAATCTGCCAAGTTGAATCCTGGGACTGAGCTTCAAGGTATGAAATTTAAGGTGTTTTGTCTTGGACCACATTTGCAAGATGTGAATTCTTCTGCATCCATTCCAGAGCCACCGCCTCAGTGTGTAAATTCTATTGGGTGCAACCGTGGGCCATCTTTGCAAGGTGTAAATTCTTCTGCATCTATTCCAGGCCTTCAGTGTGTATGTTCTAATGGGTTCAACTCTGGGCCAAACTTGCAAGATATGAATTCTTCTGCATCCATTCCAGGGCCAACACTTCAGCGTGTAAATTCTATTGAGTGCAAACCTGGGCCACATTTACAAGGTGTAAATTCTGCAACCATTCCAGCACCTAAACTTCAGTGTGTAAGTCCTAATGGGTCCATCCTTGGGCCAAACCTGTGAGGTGTGAATTCTTCTGCATCTAGTCCAGAGCCACCACTTCAGTGTGTGAATTCTATTTAGTATAATTGTAGGCCACATTCACAAAGCGTGAGTTCTTCTGCATCCATTCTACGGCCCAAACTTCAGTGTGTTAATCTTAATGGCTGCAACCCTGGGTCAAATTTGCAAGGTGTGAATTCTTCTGCATCCATTCCAGAGCCACCACTTCCATGTGTAAATTTTATTGGGTACAATCCAGGGCAGCATTTTCAAGGTGTAAATTCCTCTGCACCCATTTCAGGGCCAAAACTTCAGTGTGCAAATTCTACTTGGTGCAGCCCAGGTCCACAATTGCAAAGTGTGAATTCTGCATTTATTCCACAGCCCCAAGCTCAGTGTGTAAATTCTATTGGGTACAACCCAGAGCCATATTTACAAGGTATGAAATCTGAATTAATTCCAGTTTCAAAACTTTAAGGTATGAAGTGTTCTGAATTGAACCCAGGGACAGAAATTCAAAGTGAGGCATCTATGATGTTCAACCCTAGATGACATTTGCAAGATTTAAAATCTTATATGACTCCAGGGTCAAAGTTTATATGTGTAGCACCTATGGAATGCAACCCTGGGCCACAGGTGCAGCATGTGAATTCTTCTGAGTTGAATCCAGGGCTAAAGTTACAATGTGTAAACTCTATGAAGTGCAAACTTGAGACACACTTGCAAGGTGTAAAATCAGGGACAAAATTTCAAGTTATGAAATCTGAGTTGCATCCAGGGCCAGAGCTTCAAAGTATAAAATCTGTTGTGTTCAACTCTCTGCAACATTTACAAGATGTAAAATGTGAACTGACTTCAGGGACAAAATTTGAAGATGTAACACCAAAGGAGTTCAACTCTGGCCCACAGCTGCAAAGTATGAATTCTTCTGAGTTGAATTCAGAGTCAAAATTTCAATGCATAAATTCTATCAACTTGAATCCAGGGCCACAGAAACAAAACATGAAGCCCTCTGAATTGAACCCTAGGTCAGAATCTCAAGGTACAACATCTATTCTGTTCCACCCTGGACCATACTTGCAAGGTGTAAAATCTTCTGAATTAACTCCAGGGACTAAGTTTCAAGGAGTCCAATTTTGGGGGAAGCATCTCGGCTCACAGCAAGCTGTGCAACCTGCATTCACTTTGGGTCCTTAGATAAACGGTACAAAATCTGAGGTATTTTTACCAGAGACACTGCTTAAAGATGTCAAGTCTGTGGAGATAAATAAGCAGCCATTGCTTTATGATGCAAATTCTGTGAAAATAATTTCAGCCTCTGAGCTAACGGACTTAAAATATGAGGTATTTACACTAGAGCCATGTTTTCAAAAAGCAAAATCGGTGGAATTAAAACCAGAGTCATATCCTCAAGGTATGAATTCTGAGGAGTTGCATTCACACCTCAGGCAGCATAGTGTGAGATCTATGCTATTTGTATCAGAGCCACATTCTCAAGAGGTGAAATCTGTGAAGTCAACTCTATAGCCACAACCTCAAAGTGTAAATTCTTTGACATCATGCTTTAGGTCACAATGCTTTAAATCTGTGGCCTTTGCACCAAAGCCATGTTTTCAATATAAAAAACCTATGGAGCTGACACCAGGGGCCCAACAGCAAGGTATAAATTATCAAGAGTTGACTTCAGAATGGCAAGATGTGAAATCAATGGTGTTGGCACCAGAGCCAACTAGGAAGTTCTCATCAGGACCAATGTTGACCGGTGTCATATTTTCAAATTTGTCTCCAGAATCACAGCAACAAGGTGTGAAATCTTTGAAGTTTACTCTAGAGCCAAAGTTGCAAAGTGTAAAACATGTGAAATTGTCTTCAGTGTCTCTGCAGCAAACTATAAAATCTTTGGAATTAGCACAAGGGTTACTGCTTCAAACAGTGAAATACGGGGAGCAAACTCCAAGAACAAATTCCCAAATCATGGCATCCTCTGAAATAATCCCCAGGCCAGGGCATCAGTTTACAAAATGTGCAGAGATGATCCCACAGCCAAAGTATCAAGTCCCTAAATCTGCAAATTTGATTTCAGTACAAATTTATCATGCCACAGAATTTTCAGAAATGGCACAAGGACTGGAAAATAAAGGCATAGATCCTATAGAGAAATCTTTGGGGTTAACCAAGGCAGAGCCATGGAATCTTTAGGGATTCTGCTGCAGCCAGATCTTCAAGTACCAAAATTGGTTGATCTGACTCCAATGCTAAGGTATCAAGGCTCAAAATTCTTAGGATTAACTCCAGAGAACAGCCACCAAATCCCAGAAACTATGGACATGCTGTCTCAGCCATGGCCCCAAGTTAAGGATTTGGGGGAGTTACATATAAAGCCACGGCAGCAAATTGTGGAACCTGAAAGGATTACCCCAGAACTCAAGCATTACTTTACAGAAGCTATGGGGTGACCACTGAGGCAAGGATACAAGCAAATGAATTCTTTGGAATGACCCCAAAGCCACCAAGTCAAGCCACTGGATTTGCAGAGAGATCCCCAAGGCTCTGCCCTCAAGACTTAGAACCCGTGGAGGCGATCTCTCAGAAAAGATTGCAAAGGGAAGAATCTGTGGTATTGATTCCAAAGTCATTACATCACATCCCAGATTCTGCTTCAGGGATGTCACCTGGGTTAGGACATCAGGTTTCTGAATCTGTGGAGTTGACTTCTGAGTTAGGGATGCAGGTGGAGAAAACTTTGGAATTAACTCCAGAACCACAACATCATCTGGGATCTCCAGAGATAATATTAGGGTTAAGACATCAAGTCCCTGAATCTGTAAAGCTGAACTATAAGCAATGGCTGCAAATGGAGGAATCTTTAGAGGTACCCCTGAAGGAAACAAGTCAAGTTATAGGACATGAAGAATCTGCAGAGCTCACCTCTGAGGCATGGCAGCACAGGGAGGTATCAATGGGGCTAACAAAATCAAAGAATCAAAGTATGAAATCTCCAGGGACAACCACAGGACCACTGGATCAAAATGTAGAATTTATGATTAGTCCAGAACCACTAGATCAAGTCACAGAATCTGCAAGGACACAGCTTCAAGTTGCTTAGCCTCAAGAGGTAACCTTTGTAGATGTCCCAAAAGTTGTTCAATCTGAGAAGGTGACCCCTGGACCACCATTTCAAGTTGTAAAGTCTATGACAGTGCCAAGGCCAGCCCATCAAGTGGTGGAATATACTGAGTTGACTCCAAAACTGCAAGATGTGAGACTTTCAGAGCTCCCCTCATGGCCATGGTTACAAGATGTGAAAGCTAAGAAATTAATCACAAAGCCAAAACACCAGATAGTGGAAACAATGGAGTTGACAGGGTTTCAAATTGTAAAAACTATGTTAATCCCAGGGCCACCCCATCAAATTGTAAAATCTGAGCAATAAGCACCAGGACTAATTCCTCAGGTTGTATAACCAAAAGGAGTACCCTAGAATGAGGAATTGTAGCAATAAATTCTGTGAATTTACTTCGAGGCCATATCTTCAAGAACTCATAGTACCTGTAGAGTCAACTCTAAGGCCACATATTCAAGTGCAATCTGAAGAATTAACCTCACAGCAAACATCTCCATTTGAGGAACATACAATATTGACTCATAAACAAGGACTTCAGGCTGTGAAATCTACATTGATAAAAACAGAGCCTCCTAAGTTATGGAATCTGAGGATTTGAATCTAGGACAGGTGTGTCAGAATAGGGACTGTGGCCGGGTGCGGTGGCGCGTGCCTGTAGTCCCAGCTACTCGGGAGGCTGAGGTGGGAAGATTGCTTGAGCCCAGGAGTTCTGGGCTGCAGTGCGCTATGCAGATCGGGTGTCCGCACTAAGTTCGGCATCAATATGGTGACCTCCCAGGAGTGGGGGACCACCAGGTTGCCTAAGGAGGGGTGAACCGGCCCAGGTCAGAAATGGAGCAGGTCAAAACTCCTGTGCTGATCAGTAGTGGGATCGCGCCTGTGAATAGCCACTGCACTCCAGCCTGGGCAACATAGCGAGACCCTGTCTCTAAAAAAAAAAAAAAAAAAATAGGGACGGTGAGAAGTTAACATCGGAAGAGTTACAAGTGAGGTCTGACTTCTCTAGGTTCCTACAAAGCTCTTCAACCTCACTTATTTCAGTCTCTGCCAAAACAGCATCTGAATTGGGAGGACTCTGGGATTCTGGGATACAGAAAGTATCCTGAGCTTTGGATGTAAAAAACCTTGGGACAGGTATTTTACAGCCCAAAGAGACCTATCTAGACCCTACTATGATGCAGTCTTTAACTCCTCCCTTGGCCCTTCATAATCAAAGCTCTGGTAAGACAGCTAACATGGTGGAAAACACATGTCCTGAGATTCCCAGAGTGGATGTCATATCTAAACAGAAAACTAAGAGGAAGCAAATGGAGGAGATAGAGAACTCACTTCAGAGACATCTGTCACAAAGCTGGAGATCACATTCCAGTCAGAATCAGGGGTTCAGAAATCCCTCATCAAGTATTTCCTGGGCAGACAATTCAACGTCTGGGAGACTCATGCCTGGAGGCAGCGACTACCAAGAAAATTTCTCTCTATGCTATTTCTGGGGAATGTTTTAGGGACCACTATGGAAAGGAAGCTTTGTTCTCAAACATCTCTAGCAGAAAAAGCCACTGCAGATACCTGTCAGTCTAGTCAGAATTTATTTGGGATTCCAGCTGAACTGATGGAAGCTTCCCAGAGGCTGCCAGAGAAGGGTCCAGTTACTATATCTCAGCCTTCAGGTCAAAAACCATATTCAGAAACATACTTTAGATCATGTACATAAGAAAAGAATGGCCTTAAGGATGTGGACAAGTGGTTCCACATCTTCCATAATACAGCAATACTGTGGGACGAGAGTGGAAATAAAGAAAGCAAACTCAGGGTTCAGTGGTATATCCCAAGAAGTCATTCAGCATATGCCTGTCACATGTGCAGGGGGCCAGCTTCCTGTCCGGGTAAAGTCAGTCTATCAGCATATTTTATGACAGAGAAGATCTTGTTCCAATGGAAGAAAGTGAGAACTCACAGAGTGATTCCCAGACAAGGATTTTTGAGTCCCAACATTCCCTCAAGCCAAATTATCTTCCCCAGAGTGACTTCTCAGAACAGCTCCAGTTGCTACAAGATTTGCAGATAAAAATAGCAACAAAACTCTTAAGGAGTCAAATACCCCCCCATGTGCCTCCACCTCTAGCTTTAGATCTAGTCCTAAAGTACCCTATCTGCCTACAGTACGGCCGATGTTCAGGATTTAACTGCCATCATAAATTACAGACCACTTTGGGGCCTTATCTTCTGATCTATCCACAGCTCCACCTTGTAAGCACTCCTGAAGGCCATGGTGAGATTTGGTTGCATCTTGGCTTTAGGCTATGAACCAGGAAAAGACCCCAAATCTCAAAGTGTCATGAAAGAGATAGACCCGTCATATGGAGAAGACCTATGTCACCATCACAAAGGAAAGCTAAAATCATACTCAAGCTTCCAAGAGTCCTACTTCCACAATAGATTTGCAGTCTGGGTCCTCCCAGTCCCCTGCTCCTATACAAGTCTACATCAGGCGAAGACAACGCAGCAGCCCTAACCTGGAAGAAAAGACAATAATTAGAGCAACTGGACACTATGAATCCATTCGGGTTCACACCCTATCAGAGAGTGATTCTGAAAGCTCTCAGAATGAGAAATGGACTACAGTGAGAACCAAAAAGACCTCCGATTCAAAATATCCAATGAAGAGAATGACCTAGGGACTTGGTGATATCACGCGGAGGCTCACGCCTATAATCCAGCACTTTGGAAGGCCTACAGCAAATCACCTAAGGTCAGGAGTTCAAGACCAGCCTTACCAACATGGTGAAACTCATCTCCACTAAAAATACAAAAATTAGCAGGGCATGGGGGCGGGCGCCTGTAATCCTAGCTGCTGGGAAGGCTGTGGCAGGAGAATTGCTTGAGCCTGGGAGGTGGAGGTTGCAGTGAGTAAGGGTTGCACCACTGCACTCCAACCTGCGTTACAGAGCAAGACTATCTCAAAAAAAAAAAAAAAAAAAAAAGGAAAAAAGAAAAAAAAAAGTCAAAGTCTTTTAAAGTCCTTATATTGTTTGCAGGGGTGGGGGTGGTTAGATGCTGATTAGCTTTAGAAAATGTACATGTTAAACTTTCAAGTTAACCTCTACAGAAATAGGATATATAACTTTCAAATCCAAAATGTGAAGAAAAAAAAAAAGAGATGTTTAAAGAAAGGACAAAATTAGCTGGACATGGTGGCATGCACCTGTAGTCCTAGCTGGGCAGGAGGCTGAGGCAGGGGGACTGCTTGAGCCCAGGAAGCTGAGACTGCAGTGAGTATGATTGTACCACTGCACTCCAGCCTGGGAGACAGAGTGAGACCCCATCTCAGAAATAAAGAAGAGAGAGAGAAATAAAACAGGAAAAGAGGAAAAGAGAGAAGGAGAGAGAAAATAGACGAGAGAGAGAGAGAAAAAAGAAAAAACTAAACAAATAAATTTTAGACCCTAACCAGTCTAAAATGAGGCAAAAAAGGAGATAAAAAGAGGTATGGAAAAGAACAAAAAGCATTGAGTGCTCTACCCATACGCACACCAGTCACCCTAGCTTAGCACAGGAGCCTGCCTCTCTTTCCTCTGGCTCCTCTCAGATTTTGGAAGACTACTGGGTATGTGCGATGTGATAGGACAGGAGAGAAGATCTGATCTGTAATCTGAGAAAAAAAAGGAACTCTGAATGGCTTATAACAGAGAATCAGTACAGAAGGAGATGACATTAGAACCGCCCCTCCTATCAGGGATCTTCCAGCCTACAGAGATCTCCATAATATGACCTGGGAATTCCTAGGGCCACTGTAATTAGCCCATATTCCAACGGTCTAACATAGTGTTAGGAATCTGAAAAAGGATGGTCCTGGGGGCTGGAACATAAGTGTAAGCTTCATTTGCCAATTCTATCACAGAGATTAAGGGTGGTTGACACAGAAAAAAGTAGCCTCCAGAGTCTCCTCGTGGCTGTAATTAATCAGCTCAACACCACATCTGAGGGCCCCTAGTGTCCAACATACCCTAATAGTGAACATGGTGACTCTCTCAGGTGCCTCAGTGTTGTACCACACACACAGGCTGTTGCGGTTCTGAGCTACCAGCACATCACTTCCTGGGACCCACTGCACATAGGCGCAGAAGTTGAGGATCATTGTCTTAGAGCAGCTCTCAATATCATACAGATGCAACTGAAGAAAGAAGAGGCAGATAGCACAATTAGAAGTGCATGTGGGGTTGTCTCCTACTTTTGACCATTTCCCTAATGGTGAGATGTGGTGAGCTAACCCACCAGTCAGGCTCATGCTGCATTTCAAAGCTTACTGACCTGCTGTCTGCTGAGGTGGTATATCCTAACTCTGGTCAAGTAAGAGATGACTCATAGAACAGAGATCTACATCCCAGGAATTGTAAGTTAGGTGAAGGTCAGACTTTCCTTCTTGGAATAACTCTGGGCCAGAGTTACCAGCTTGGATTACAAATGGCAGGCCACTAGAAACACTAAATGATCTGGAAATCTGTGATGTGGCTTTCACTAAAATGAAAAATCACCAGGTTGTCTTGTTGACCTGAGGTTGAACACTGGTGCTACCATATTGGGATGGGATAAGAATCCATGAGGGACAAAGAGGCTGTCCTCCAGCCAGTTCATGCCATCAGGTCAGTGTGGCTGAAAAGCACTGGACAGCAGGTCTAGTGAAGGTCAGCTAGGCATGAGGAGGAGGAATGCAGGGTTAAGGAAGTTTCAATAGGGCACAGACTGTGAACAGTAAGAGAGACCAACTCCCAAACTCCGCTCTTGACTTTGTTGCCGTAATACAATTGCCTCTGAGGTAATATTGGATTGCCGTGTGCAGTGGCTCATGCCTGTAATCCCAGCACTTTGGGAGGCTGAGGTGGGCAAATCACCTGAGGTCAGGAGTTCGAGACAAGCCTGGCCAACATGGTGAAACACTTTTCTCTATTAAAAATACAAAGATTAGCTAGGTGTGGTGGTGCACATCGGTAGTCTCAGCTAGTGGGAAGGCTGAAGCAGAAGAATCGCTTGAACCTGGGAGGCAGAGGTTGCAGTGAGCTGAGATCATGCCACTGCACACCAGGCTGGGCAACAGAGTGAGACTGTCTCAAAGAAAAAAAAAAAGAGGTAATAAAGGATGGGTTTTGGTATCAGGTACAGAGAATGTTGTGCCTTCTGCTATGCTGATGACACAGCAAAGAAATTATGCCTCACCCTGGCTGCCTCAGTCTCTGGTGGCAGCTTGTCTCACACCCTTTATGGGCCAGCCAATGCCTAAGGCCTTAGTAACTCTTCTTACACGAAGTTTCCGGTCCCTGAAGAGGAGCTTGTGTCCAGTCTCATTAAGTTCCAGCTGATCCACGCGGCTCTCATGGCTGACGGTGCCAATGTAGCCACCAATCAGATCCACTATAGAATAAAAGAGACAGGTTAACATTAGAGATTGCACAGATGTACATTGTGTGGCCAACACACGTAATTTTGCTAGGATGCCTAGGAAGCTGGGTCTCTTTTAGAATTGTACAGGTTTTGTTTAACAATGTTGTAATTCAAAAAGGTCCAGATCCACTAAGAAATGTCATTACTCTCTGGGACTTAAGGAGTTACCTCAGAGAAGGTTAGAACTATTGATGAAGTGGCTGCTACTACTCACAGAATCCCCTCTAAGGCAGCACTGAGCACATTAAAGATAAGCCTGATACAACACAGCAATGAGGCAAGGCTGCTGAATCAATTACCTTGATGATCATATGCCCCAAGAAGCTACCTGCATATCTGAATGCGTACTGTGTAAGAGCACTGCAGGGTGGTTAGTGGGGAAGGCATGCAGACAAACCTCTGACAAAAGTTAGGCAAGTCACGCAGAGGATGAATACTTTGGCTTGAAACTGGTAGACAATATAAGAAACTATCACATTTAGAGCAAACTAATTAGAGTTGGCTGGGACGTTTTCAGGGAGTCTCTTGATCAAAGTTCATTTATAAGTTTTAGTGATATCTATTATTAATGAACAACATGCCTCACTTTGTTATTTATATATGCTTATCTAATGACCAAATGTCTGCTGGCATCTACAATTGCTAAGACCAAATTAAAAAACAATCTTCCTTTAAGTAAAAAGTAAAATCAGCCGGGCATGGTGGCTCATGCCTGTAATCTCAGTGCTTTGGGAGGCTGAGGTGGGCAGATCACCTGAGGTCAGGAGTTGGAGACCAGCCTGGCCAACATGGTGAAACACTGTATCTACTAAAAATACAAAAAAAAAAAAAAAAATTAGCTTGATATGATGGTTGGCGCCTATAGTCCCAGCTACTTGGGAGGCTGAGGCAAGAGAATTACTTGAACCCAGGAAGCAGAGACTGCAGTGAGCCAAGACCACACCACTACACTCCAGCCTGGGTGACAGAGCAAGACTCTGTCTCAAAAAAAAAAAAAGGAAAATGATAGAGCCATATTTTAATGCCCCAATTATAAGTAGAATCAGAGTTCTACAGTGGCAAGAACCCTAACTCCTGAGAACCCTGAAGTTATACATAAAATTATGTGTGTACAGCCTATATTTTTCTCTGAGAAGTTCTATGATTTTAGATACTCCTGGTAACCCAAAAAAGTTAAGAGAAGAACTCTTTTTCTTGTTTTTTCTCTGAGACAGAGTTTCACTTTTGTCACCCAGGCTGGAGTGCAGTGGTGCGATCTGGGCTCACTGCAACCTCCACCTCCTGGGTTCAAGCGATTCTCCTGCCTCAGCCTTCTGAGTAGCTGGGATTATAGGCACTTGCCAACAAACCTGGCTAATTTTTGTATTTTAGTAGAGATAGGGTTTCACCATGTTGGTCAGGCTGGTCTTGAACTCCTGACCTCAGGTGATCCGCCCGCCTCGGCCTCCCAAAGTACTGGGATTACAGGCATGAGCCACCATGCAGTCTTGAACTCTGTCATTTTACATACATTGAAAATGAGACCTACAGAGTGAAACTGTGTGTCCAAGTTCTCACAACTCATTGCTGCTGCTGGGATCTTAGGCCTCTTGGTCTACATTATTGTTTCCATTATAGATCCCTACATTTCTGAGCTCAGAAACCTGATATGAAATATAATGTTCATGAAAGGTACAACAATTTTAAGAATAGCTCATACATATATGGGAACTTGATTTATGACAGAGATTATATTACAAATCAGTGGGTAAAGAATGGACTTTCAACAAACGGTTAAACATATGGAAAATAAAATAAAATTAGATCCCAACCCGCATTATACATAAAAACACATTCCAGGTGAAAAGCAAAATTTAAAAATGTTAAGCTATAGAAGGGAATAGGAAAGAATTTCTTAAATAAGACCTCAAAAATCTGGTAGAATTCGGCTGTGAACCCATCTGGACCTGGGCTTTTTTTGGGTGGTAAGCTCTTAATTGCTGCCTCAACTTCAGGCCTTGTTATGGGTCTGTTCAGGGTTTCTACTTCTTCCTGGTTTAGGCTTGGGAGGAGGCAGGTGTCCAGGAATTAATCCATTTCTTCCAAGTTTACTAGTTTATGTGCATAGAGTTGTTTGTAATAATCTCTGATGATGGTTCGTATTTCTGTGGAATCTGTGGTGATATCCCCTTTATTGTTTTTTATTGCATCAATTTGGTTATTCTCTCTTTTCTTTTTTTATTAATCTGGCTAGTGGTCTATTTTGTTGATCTTTTCAAAAAACCAGCTCCTGGATTTATTGATTTTTTGAAGGGTTTTTTGTCTCTATCTCCTTCAGTTCTGCTCTGATCTTAGCTATTTCTTGTCTTCTGCTAGACTTTGAGTTTTTTTGATCTTGCTCCTCCAGCTCTTTCAGTTTTGATGATAGGGTGTCAATTTTTTATCTCTCCTTGCTTCTCATGTGGGCACTTATTGCTATATATTTTCCTCTAGAGACTGCTTTAAATGTGTCCCAGAGATTCTGGTATGTTGTGTCTTCATTCTTGTTGGTTTCGAAGAACATCTTTATTTCTGTCTTCATTTCATTGTTTATCCAGTAAACATTCAAGAGCCAGTTGTTCAGTTTCCATGAAGCTGTGTGGTTCCGGGTTAGTTTTTGAATTCTGAGTTCTAACTTGATTGCACTGTGGTCTGAGAGACTGTTTGTTATGATTTCCGTTCTTTTGCATTTGCTGAGGAGTGATTTACTTCCAATTATGTGGTCAATTTTAGAGTACGTGTGATGTGGTGCTGAGAAGAATGTATATTCTGTGGATTGGGATGGAGAATTCTGTAGATGTCTGTTAGGTTTGCTTGGTCCAGGTCTGAGTTCAAGTCCTGGATATCCTTGTTAATTTTCTGTCTGCTTGATCTGTCTAATATTGACAATGGGGTGTTAAAGTCCCCCACTATAATTGTGTGGGAGTCTAAGTCTCTTTGTAAGTCATTAAGAACTTGCCTTATGTGTCTGGGTGCTCCTGTATTGGGTGCATATATATTTAGGATCGTTAGCTCTTCTTGTTGTATTGATCCTTTTACCATTATGTAATGTCCTTCTTTGTCTCTTTTGATCTTTGTTGCTTTAAAGTCTAACTTATCAGAGATGAGAATTGCAACTCCTGCTTTTTTTTGCTCTCCATTTGCTTGGTAAATCTTCCTCCATCCCTTTATTTTGAGCCTTTGTGTATCCTTGCATGTGAGATGGGTTTCCTGGATACAGCACACCGATGGGTTTTGGCTTTTTATCCAATTTGCCAGTCTGTGTCTTTTGACTGGGGCATTTAGCCCATTTACATTTAGGGTTAATATTGTTATATGTGAATTTGATACTGCCATTTTGGTGCTAGCTGGCTGTTTTGCCCGTTAGTTGACGTAGATTCTTCCTTGTGTTGATTCTCTTTACCATTTGGCATGTTTTTGGAGTGGCTGGTACTGGTTGTTCCTATATATGTGTAGAGCCTCTTTCAGGAGCTCTTGTAAAGCTGGCCTGGTGGTGATGAAATCTCCATGTACTTGCATGTTCACAAAGGATTTTATTTTTCCTTCACTTATGAAGCTTAGTTTGGCTGGATAGGAGATTCTGGGTTGAAAGTTCTTTTCTCTAAGGATGTTGAATATTGCCCCCCACTCTCTTCTGGCTTGTAGGGTTTCTGCTGAGAGATCTGCTGTGAGTCTGATGGGCTTCCCTTTGTGGGTAACCCGACCTTTCTCTCTGGCTGCCCTTAGTATTTTCTCCTTCATTTCAACCCTGGTGAATCTGACGATTATGTGCCTTGGGGTTGCTCTTCTTGACAAATATCTTTGTGGTGTTCTCTGTATTTCCTGGACTTGAATATTTGCCTGCCTTGCTAGGTTGGGGAAGTTTTCCTGGATAATATCCTGAAGAGTAGTTTCCAGCTTGGATTCATTCTCTTCGTCGCATTCAGATACGCCTCTCAAACGTAGATTAGGACTTTTCACATAGTCCCACATTTCTTGGAGACTTTGTTCATTCCTTTTTACCGTTTTTTCTCTATTCTTGCCTTCCCGTTTTATTTCATTGAGTTGATCTTCGACCTCTGATATCCTTTCTTCTGCTTGGTCCATTCGGCTGTTGATACTTGTGCACGCTTCACGAAGTTCTCGTGTTGTGTTTTTCAGCTCCATCAATTCACTTATATCCTTTCTATTTTGTCCATTCTCATTAGCATTTCGTCAAATCTTTTTTCAACGTTCTTAGTTTCTTTGCATTGGGTTAGAACATGTTCTTTTAGTTCACAGAAGTTTCTTACTACCCACCTTCTGAAGTCTGATTCTGTCATTTCATCACACTCGTTCTCCATCCAACCTTGTTCCCTTGCTGTTGAGGAGTTGTGATCCCTTTTAGGTGTTCTGGTTTCGGGTGTTTTCAACCTTTTTGCGCTGGTTTCTTCTCATCTTTATGGATTTATCCACTTGTCGTCTTTGTAGTTGCTGGCTTTCAGATTGGGTCTCTGAGTGGACATTCTGTTTGTTGTTGATGAGGTTATTTCTGTTTCTTGGTTTTCCTTCTGACAGTCTGGCCCCTCTGCTGTAGGTCTGCTGAGGTCCACTCCAGGCCCTGCTTGCCTGGGATCACCTGCAGCAGCTGCTGAACAGTAAGGGTTGTTACCAGTTTTCTTCTTCTGTTATCTTTGTCCCAGAAGGATACCCACCAAGTCTCAATCTGATCTCTCCTTTGTGAGGTGGCTCTTTGGATATACAGGGGTCAGGGAGCTGCTTGAGGAGATGGTCTTTTCTTTATAGGAGCTCAAATGCTGAGCTGTGAGCTCTGTTGTTCATTCAGAGCTGCTGGGCAGGTACATTTAGGTCTGCTGCAGCAGAACTCATAAACCGCTTTTTGTTCCCAGGTGCTCTGTTCCAGGGCTTTAGGGCTTTATGAGTTTCCGTTATGCTGCTGCCTTCTTTTTTTTT